TATTATCTTCTTCAAGGATTATTTACATACTTGCTTCCATAAGAAAGACATAGGAGAACTCAAATATTTCCTAGGTGTTGAAGTGGTTCACTCCTTTAGTGGAATTTTTCTCTATCAACAAAAGTATGCTTTGGATATCATAGGAGAAGCATGACTTTTAGGAGCAAAGTCATCAATGACTCCATGATTTGGGTCTTGTTGAGGGATCAAATTTTCTCATCCTAATTAATACAAGTGATTGGCGGGACACCTCATTTTCCTTTGTTTTACTTAACCAAAAAAAAATTTGTGTCCACATATTGTTTCGATTTATGCAACAACCTATACAAGAACATTGAGAAGTTGTGTTGCGAGTAGTTTTCTACTTAAAAGGTGTTATGGTAAAATTATATTTGACATGAAAATATATTATAATACAAGCAACACAAACCTTCCGATATGAATGATTAATATTAACTAAATCATTAATTTGATGAATGGTTTATAATAATTTACTATATATATATATATATATATATATGTTTGTGTGTGTGTGTGTGAAAATCATTATAAGCCTTATGTAATAAATCTCCACCTTGACTTGAATTCCATATGTCATGTAAAGAGATTGATTGTGGCAAAGTCTTAACAAGGAATGATGGTGTTTGTAGTATAGTTGGAAAGGTACAGTGAAAATTAAGCCGGTTGATGGTATTGTGAGAACATTAATCAATGTGAGGTATGTGTTTGAACTCCAAAAAAAATTATTTTGTTTAAGCATTTTTTAGACTCTCTTGGTTGTTCGTATTGAGCAGAATGAGGAGTCTTGAGATTTTCTAAAGGTGCCTTGGTAGTTATGAAAGGAAAGTTGAAAAATGGACTATATATCTTGCAAGGCAAGATGATGGTAGATGTAACCATTGTTTCTTCTATTTCAAATCTTGACTAGACTCAGAAACTCTTCTTCCTTTCCCTTATTCTTCCTCTAAACATTAGACCTTCACTTGAGCTGCTACCATTATATGAATCACTAATACACCTTTTTAATCTCCAAGATTGTAAGGTTTTTTAACTTCCTCCATCGATAATGAACTTCTACCAAAAATCATTATGTCTACAAAATTTTCATAAGTCCTTGGCAAAGAATTAAATAGAAGAACAACTTAATCCTCGTCATCAATCATAACATTAATATTTTTTAAACTAAGAACAACTTGGTTGGAATTATCAATATGTTTGTGAATGGACTCACCGACGTGCATTTGCATGGTATATGACTGTTTCTTTAAGAAGAGACGATTATGAAAAGACTTTGTCATATACCTACTTTCAAGCTTTGCTCAAAGCTTGTCAGCAATCTTTTCTTCCAAGACTTCTCCCAAAACTTCATTACCTAGAAATAATAATGTTATGCTATGTACTTTTTTCATTATCACATTCTTCTTTGTAAATATAAGATCAATCAACAATTTTGTTTCTCCTTCCAATGACAACTCATATAAATTATTGTGTGAGGAGCGCGAGCATCTTCACCTATCATATATTGAAATTATTTTTACTAGTAAATTTCTCAACTTCAAATTTTACAGATGTCATAGCTTTGATACCAATTTGTTATGGTACAATTGTATTTGACATAAAAATATAATTATACGAAATATATTTGGCAGTAAGAAGTATCACTACTATTAAGAAAATAATAAAATTATAAAGAAGAATTCTCAACATTTTTTTTTCTCTCACAATGGTCTCTTAGGATTGCTTTCACTCTTCTACTTAAATTGAATTGTTACAATTCTATGCATTTATTTATATTAGAATACAAGCAACACAAATATTCTTTTATGAATGATTGAATTAACTAAACTATTAATTTTGATGAATGAATTATAAATATTTACTATATATGAAAATCATTCTAAGTCATACATAACAAAAGGGGATTTTGGGCGAGGTGAGCTCTTAAGTAGAAACTATGATTTGCAATTGATTGCATGGTGTGATTCATATTTGAGAAGTTGTCGCCTAACTCACAACTTGCACAAGGTAGCTTATTCATTTGGGTAACTCCTATTTCTTGGAAAACAAAGAAGCAACCAACGATTTCATGCTCATCCGTTGAGGTTGAATATCATTCCATGACAACCACTATGTGCAAGTTGAAATGCTTAAAGGAAATTCTCTGTGACCTTGGTATCTCACTTTCTCAACCTATTCATGTTCATTGTTTCTCTTCATATTGCCAAAAATCTCATTTTCTATGAATGTGCCAAACATATTGAAATTGACTCTTGTTCGAAATGAGATTCTAAAAGGCAACATTGGACCTACTTATGTCTCTACCATTGTACAATTGGTTGATATACTCACTAAAGCACTTGGTTCAAGTCAGTTTACTTCCTTGTTACACAAGTTGGGCATTTGCAATTCACAATGTCCAACTTAAGGGGGGGGGGGGGGGAAA